AAAACAAAGAAGGGTGAAAATCAAGTATATTAGCGTTTGAGAATGCTTCTTAGGGGGATATACGGAAAAACAATTGAACAGGGAGAGGTTCAGCATCGGAAGAGAAAAGAGAGTTCAGTGAAGGCAGTTTACAGAGTTAACTGTTGAGTAATCAGCGGGCACGCGGACAGGAAGCAGGGTAACTGAGATCAGCAGAAAGCCAGATGCGGAAAGAGTGGGGATATACGTCCAGTCTCACCTTCCGGCTACACAAGTTAGCCAACTACGTTAAATCTCGTTGATGAACGTTCACCGACCGCCAACGGAACTCACTTGTCCCACTCTACCTTGGGTCTCATTTCTTGGGCCATGACAGCAGCCGTAGCAGCTAGTAGTATAGGTAAATAGCACTGCCACCAAAGACAAGGGAGACCAAAATGCCCATTTCTGGCTTATTAGCCGTCGTCAGCCGGTCATACACGGCCCCAGTGGTGCACCATCCGACACTCGAACTCGCGACCTCAGAGTTTTAAGGCCTAACCATTGAGCGAAGAGCTCATTGTCTTGCCGGTTTACGTTAAATCTACCTGACAAAAGGTCTGTCTTGGGGAGGGTGGTCATTAAAGAGTAAGTCAGGTGGAGAGACCGATCGACCGTGGGATTCGCGGCACCCAACCAACAGCGGAAAGGAACAAAACAGGCAGTAGCACGTAACTCACCCTGTCAGTGGCATGGACATTGGCTCCCATGTCCAACAGAAGCTCCACGAGCTCCCGGTGACCGTGGTAGGAGGCGAACAGAAGCGGTGTGAAGTCCGCCTAAAAAAAGAAAAACGGGTCGTCATACTCATGTTTAAGCTGCTGGTTCAGTATAATTCAGTATATTTAAGGATAAGGGGGCATTGCTCATGGCTTCTAAGACAAAGTTCCAGGACAATCCAGCGACATCCATATTGCACTGTTATTTCATTGAAGCCCTAGTCTGGCTACAGGAAAAGTTTGAACCTTAGTAATATTTACTCGTGGTGTCGAAAGCATTGGCCAGCATTGGAAACGAACCCTAACACTTACACTGTTGGAATCTAGTCATTCAGTGGATTTTGCGGTCAACAGACAACACCGCATTCCCCACCAGAGTGAAACAGGAAAGGGGGAAGGGCCTTTCCAGGCTTTGTTTTAAATTTCCGGATAGTACGTCCAATGAGATCGATACTGATATCTACGGATGTATCCTTGTATATCAATGGTGGGTGACAAAATTGCCCGTTAAAATTCGGACAATGGATAGGCGGGCAAACCTCCCGTTGTTGTTTGTCGTCCCTCTGATGAAACGTTCGGCATTGTCAAAACATTTGTCATTGAACACGTCAAAACATACTTAACTCGGTTAACCCTAATATCCAGGGAGATTAAAACAAGCAAACAACTTCCCTCGTCGATGTTCTCGTGCGCTGATGTGTAACTAGGCAACTGCAAAATGCAGTATTCATAAAAGCCTCCAGCGCAAGGCAAATGGATACGCAAGCTATTTAGCAAGCAAAGCAAACGCCGAGTGAACAGATGGCAACCAATAGAGCGGCAATCCGAAGTATAGAAGGCCATTCTGTAAATAAAAGCAGTCTTTAACTGTTTTGACCCGCCAGAGTAGGCATCGCCCATGGACCACAAGTGACAATACGCCGCCGCGTAGTGCAAACTATGGACAGAGGGCCCCCAAGTGAAACATCCGCAGTTGTCTACTTAATACATTGCAACTATGGGGACTGCAACTAAATTGGCGAAACAGGACGAGAATTGCAGACCCGTCTGCATGACCACAAACTGACAACACAGAGGATACATCCAAACTCGCAGCTTGCAACTAACCCTTTCGAAATTCAAGAATTTAAGAAATCGGTGCAAACACGGCCCTGCGACGAACCCACCCGAAGGGGAGGCAGGGTTACAAGCATCCTTCCCCGAGATCAGGACACGCAACTTCAGCCGCCGTCAAACTCACCAGACGTCTGTCAAAAGACTGACAAAGCAAAGGAATAAAAAGTTCAATCAGTCCAAGACTGACTATCTCGGCCAGTCCTTACAATCCTGGTCGATTCGTAGCATTAAACGCTTTAAAAGTGGACAGCGCAACAGGCGCCTCGAAAGCTCAGCAACAGAAATAATCTGTTCCGATGAGAATAGCTTCACGTTCCCGGGGTAGGGGCAGTGTTCACTTCGAATGACGGCAGATAGTTCATTGCTTGATTGCATCCCACCACTCCCCC